AGACGAAACCATGCAGCCAACACTGTTTCCAACAAAACAAAAAAAACATGTTCTGTTATATAGAGTTTGAAGATTTTTGTAACCGCTAGCAGATATTGTTCGCTTCGCACGTTACGTATCGTGGTTACCTCACGGTATTAAAACGCGTTTGCTAGAGAGAGGCTTCCACACCCTTACAAGAAGTGTTTCGTTCCCCTCTCCAACTGATATGAGATCTCACAATCCACCGCTCTTGGTGGCTCAGCGTCCTCGCTAACACACTGCCTAGTGTATGGCTCTGATACCGTTTGGAAAAGCTCAAGGCCACCACTAGCAGATATTGTCCGTTTTGGCCCGTTACGTATCGTCGTTAGCCTCACGGTTTTAAAATGCGTCTGCTAGGAAGAGGCATCCACACCCTTACAAGAAATGTTTCGTTCCCCTTTCCAACCGATGTGGGATCTCACAATCTACCCGCTTGGAGGCCCAGCGTCCTTGCTGGCACACTACCCGGTGTCTAGCTCTGATACCATTGACAACAGCTCGAGGCCATCGCTAGCACATATTGTCTGCTTTGGCCCGTTACATATCGTCGTTAGCCTCACGGTTTTAAAAGGCGTGTGCTAGGGAGAGGCTTCCACGCCCTTATAAGAAAAGTTTCGTTCCCCTCTCCACCCGATGTGGGATCTCACAATCCACCCCTCTTAGAGGCCCAGTGTCCTCGCTAGCACGCTACTCAATGTCTAGCTCTGATACCATTTGGAACAACTCAAGGCCATCGCTAGTAGATATTGTCCGTTTTGGCCCGTTACGCATCGTCATCAGCCTTACAGTTTTAAAACACATCGACTAGCGATTCGTTTCCACACCCTTGTAAGAAATGCTTCATTCCCCTTTCCAACCGACGTGAAATCTCACAATTTTAAACGAGAACTCACTTACTTCCACCATATGATCCACCAAGAACAATCACAGGAGAATCTTTAGCATGCAACTCCTTTTTAACATGTATAAGAACATCCGCATAATCTGCTATTGCTTGAGCAGAGTTGAAATAGCCTAAAGTGCTTGCATTCTTCAATGCTACCTCCCTTGATCCAAAGGGTATCGATTTCCCATAATAACGATGCTAACAACAAAACAAAACAAAATCATATAAACCCTCCAAAGCATTAAATATGAACCACACAAGAACATGAAAGCTCTTACCTCAATATAAACAAGAAGAGCCCCAAACTGAGCAGCATTATCAGTCGAGAATCCTACAACGTTCAAATCATTATCCAGTGGACCTTCAGCTCCCAAGTAGGCAAGAATGGGAGCGCTGGAATTTGCGCCGCCCCAATACTTAAAGTTGATTATATATCTATGAGCGAACGTCGTGTAGCTTTCAGGCCTATAATTGAAGTGATCTAACGTTTGGTTGTAATAAAATGTCTTGAAATCATCCGAAAGAGGCGAGGACAGAGCTTCAGAATCTCTGTCGGTTGGACTAAGCCTTGGGATTCTGTACTGTGTTGCAGAAACACAGGCTGAAAGGATGAGAAGTAAGCAGGGAAGAAGCATCATGGCGGAGTGCTTGGTTTGGCTTGATCTTCACAAACAAACAGCTCCTTTATATAACAAAAAGTTGTCCGGTTCACCGGTTCGAGTCTCGAACCAGTGGTTAGTAAGCTAGGCCAAGGCGCCTAATGAAAGGTAGTTGAATGGTTGAGTTGAGTTGATGGTCGGGAAGGCGAGTAAGTTATAGAGGTTTCTGCCAAATAAAGACACTCTTCAACGGCTTCATTCCTAAATATGCAATGAAGCTGTTGTCCTTATCAAAAATTTGCTTTTCTAATGCTAAAATCACTTCAAAATTCCTAGTTTTAGAATAGTGTCTTCGTGAAGAAAACTTCTAATCTTAATATCTTGATGTGTCGGTTAGGGATGTTCGTTAGTTGAGTTGGGTCCGGTTGGCTGAGATACTTTTTAGATCTTGGGCAACTAAATATACGTATATATAACTCGATCGGAAATAAAAATGTATATCATAAAATTTATAATAAATTCGAGTTTGTTTAGTTCAACCCAATCGACTTTCAGGAGAACCAATAAACCAATTCAATCTATAAAATTTTTATTTATTTAAAACCGCATAAATTAGGTTGGATTGATAAGATTTTTCTAATTATCAAGTTTTGTCGGTTGTGAAGATCGGAAGCTAAAGCTTAGAAAGTGGATGGAAAATTCAGCAGTAAACCGACGATTGGTCCAAGTTTGTGCCATTGAAAAACTCTTTTGGAAAAACATTAAGTTCATATCTTGAAATGACTTGATACTAACATGTTGATACACATATGGTTTTAAAATAGTTCATCAGATCTCTCTAATTATCAAGTTTTCTTTTAAGATAATTTTAAAATAGTTAAATTTATATTTGTTATATTTAAATCATTTTGCAACGTGCTTTTTATAAAAATTAAAAAAAAAAGTGAGAAAATTATTTTTGATCAAGTTTTTAGTACACACATGGAAGGTGGATTTGAAAGTAGATATTTTATATTTAAAGATTCCAGAAATTATATTTTTTTTTCCTTGATAACAAAAAAAAAAATATATATATATATTTTTTGTGATGGGAATTTTTTCATTAAAAATATTTTATTTTTTTTTAAGTAAAATAAGAATTAATATTTCGAGTTTGAAAACTTAAGAATTTAGGTGCATCAAAGTTGGAACATAGCTATATTGCACGTGTCTTATTGTCGGTTAACAAGGTTGTTTGTGGCATCGACGGTGGTGGTGCTGGAAGGGATATTCAAATTGGAATTTATAATTTCAACTCAACTTTATTTTTGTCTATTTTTTAGTTTAGCAAGAATTATTATATAAAAGAGTCAATTTTTTCGGTTAATAATATTATAAAAGAGTTGAATAAATTTTACTTTAATTTTATTTCAAGAGCATGTATTTTGGAATTAAAGAAAATTGTGTGCATATCACAAAAACATTAGGTAATAGAAACAAATTATTTTGAGCCTCATAAATTAATTTGTGTTTATGTAGTCTTAAGATTAAGAAAAGTATATAGTTTATCTATAAATTAAATTGCTAATAAGAGCAAAGGATTGAAAACTTGAAAAATAAAAACAAAACTGTAAGCCAACTAGATGTAGCTCTAAAAGTTTTTGGGAGTGAAATTAGAAAAGTAAGCTTTATCATTCTGAAATTCCTTGAACAAGGTTTCTAATTCCACTCATCGTATTTATTCTCGCTAGATTAATCAATAATAGAGAGTACATCTATTATTTCAATCGTCCATCATTGTATAATAAACTTTATATGCATAGAAATTTGGACAAGAAGAATTAGTAAGACACCTGGATGGATGGATGCATGGATGGATGGATGGATCAAGAGGATGAAGATCAACGAATCTCACTATTAGTCTCATTTTTTGTCTTTGTTGTCATCTAATTCGTCATAAAGAGTAAGCACGAATCACTTCTAGAATAGGCGCATGACATGTCGGACACTTTTCTCTTGCTTCGACCAACTCGTTAGCACATTTTGAACATGTGCACATGTGCCAAAAGGAGAAAATATAAGTTAAATGAAACTTGGAACTAGAGAAAAGCACACAAAAATGGTCTGATAATTTGCTAGAATTACCTATACAACAAAGCATCAATATGGTTATCACAACATGTACAACAAATTCCTTTCCTTACTCGGTCTCATTTGGGTTCTTCGTCTGGCAAACTGTCTTCCCTCCCTCCACCCATGCTGAATAACCATTTGAGTAAAGTATGATATATTTCGGTGGTACAGGGCAGGAACCACATTAAAAAAAAATAAAAAGTCCATGTCGAATTTTGGAAAAATATAATATCCACAACCAAGAAGCACAAAAACTACTTAAATTACTCATGAAATCACTTAGATTAAGGTATGCACCTCTGCAAATCAAGTACCATGTTGTATCTTTTTCTAGGGGGTGGGGTGGGTTCCCCAGGCAGCTTGTTAATTGATCAAATCTAAAACTAAAGAATTCAGCTACATTGAGAATGAAGGCATACCTTCTGAACCAGCTGTTCGGTTCAGTGCAGAAGAAACTTCTTGCTTAATTGAGCGCTGCAGCTCAAGTCGCATGTCCATGCATGTCTCCAACATTCTCTGTAGGTTGCTCATCCTCTGCTGTAGCCTAGACATGTCGATCCTCAAATCATTAATGATCTCCCAGTCCTGTAAAATTCAGCAACAACATCAAATTTAAAAGAATAGTAATAACAATAAAATAAAGAACGAAAAAAAGATGACCAGATTATCCAACAACCAACACTGGACTTCGCCTAATAGACAATTGCAATAATTCTAAATTTGAATTATAGAATCACAATTCATCAATCGTTTACCATTGATACTTGCACGTTTTCCTATCTCTTTTATTTACTTTAATCCAACTGATTTCATCCAAACAGAAAAGACAACAAACAAGGGAACAATGATGAGACATACAGCTCCAAACTGCTGATGGAAATCACGTCTTGACAAACTATCATGACTCAATTCATGTTCCCAAAGTTGCCGAGGGGGCATTGCAGGTGGCAGAGGCAAAGCAAGTGGATGGCTCGCAGCAGAACCCGTTTGACCTGCAGTCTGCCTGTCGTGCTCTTGCTCTTGTTTTACAGACGTGTAAGGGGACATCGTCTCGTCTAGATCCCCATTACTGGTACTGTGACCTCGCCTGTCTATGTAAGATCGAATTAACTGGTCAAGACTTTCTCAGAAACCACTACTAAGAAGAGTAGAGACACTTCTCCTGCGTAATAAAGAAAAATAGTCCACATGTAAATTCACCATTTAGTCTGAATTCCGCCAGGCATGTTGTTATATAAATTTTTTGATACGTATTTAAAAGTTCTCTCATTTCCACATTATGCACATTATTTTCTTCACGAAAATAAAAGGTCTCCAACCTTCGGCTGGATGTAGCCTCCCGACTAGGAGAGCCCTCTAACCAATTAGGCACATCCTCCACAATGATAACATTTTCATGTGAAGCTCCAGGGGCATTTTACAGATGAATATCTCCTCTGTGTGTCGTACTCGAGAATTCTCCAGACCAATTAGTAGTGTGATGCTTTCCAACCGAGTTTCGTTTATATCTTCTTCAATGCTATTTTTCCATTCATCCCGTTGAAAACCATATGCTTGCCAATCATTTGGCTCAACTCCCATACCTAGATCTTCATTCAGTTCCTCGTGAGAAGTAGATTCCAGCGGATCTACATTTTCAAGATCATTGTCTTGAAAACTTCTAGAATTATCTGATAATACTCCAATATCATCATATTCCTCGCGGGTATCAATTTGTTGAATGGAAGATTCGACATCTGGTATGCTAGTATGATCCTCGGCATCAATCTGAGGAACTTCAAGGTATAAATTTTTTGCAGCAATTTCTTGTAAAATTCTTCTCATACGTTGTCCTGAATCTTCTCTCATCTCCATTGAGTTGATATCAGCTGTTTGGCTGGCTACACAATTTTCTTCAACCTATTCTTGTGTATTTTCTAGCGCATCAATAGATGCTTCCCTACCTTGAGCACTAATTCTTTCTTAATTAGATCTGACTTGAGTTAGACCAATGCTATAAGAGCTTGCGTTATGACTTTCCACGTTAATTGGCCCAGAACGTCCAGGAAGATCATCTAGGACCTCAAAACTCCTTGTACGATTTAGGTCAGTTAGAGAATAACCATCATCACTATTGTATGTGGTGTCAGAATGCCCGCTACTTGCTTGATCTTGAACAGAATTATCCTATCGGGAGAAGAATCCTTCCCTAATTCAAAGAAAGTCAAAATATCATTAGTATTATCAAAAGGGATAGGCCAGCATTACAAAGTGGACAAGCAGGTCAAGTTGCCAATGAGCTTGAGTGAAAAACAACCGGCAAAAATTCAAGGTTGACACTGAAGGAAATAATACACGACTCTCATTCTAAATCAAGTGAATTAGGGAGTTTTTCTTCCTCGAAATTTTTGTAGTACCCGAAGTCGTGACCTTTTACACTTTCACAAACTTCAAAGTAGCATACTATTATTCAACTTCACAACATTTGAAAGATCCCAATCCTTTTACACTTTCACAAACTTCAAAGTAGCTTACTATTATTCAACTTCACAACATTTGAAAGATCCCAATCAAAGAAGGTTAATCTTCCAAGCAGGTAGCAAGTTTTGGACCTATGACTTCTTGGTTAAAGTTAACGACCCTTAGCCGCAATGCCCAGTGATCAGATTTGTGTTTTCTTGACTATAACTGGTAATAAATTCAAGTTCAACGAGGAAAACGAACAATGTCCATCAGTGTTAACATTAATGTAGAAAAAGACGTTAGTACGAAGGTTTGTTAAGCTCTATGTTTAGTTTAACCAAATTAAGACACAGTAATCAGTGATCAGATAACTTTTGGATTGAGGATATACAATCGCATATGAAATTGATCACTATTTCTCATACCTCGGTAATTCAGAAAAATTTAGTTTCCTAATAATGTAATTAGCATTAAGGATGTTGCTAGACATTAGACATTTCATGTTACATGCCAATGATGATTGGAGTGGCATTGATGAGACACTCGTAGCAATTTACATGGCAGTAATTTGACACTAGTTGTCCATTCTCGAAGTTTCTCTTATCTACAAGCAATGTACTAATGATATTCAAACACGGCAGTATAGGAGTACCGAGGTTATTCTTGGATCAAAATATTCTAATCCAGCAGATATGTGGTCATTTGCTTGCATTTGTTTTAAGTTGGCCACTGGCGATGTTCTCTTTGATCCACAGAGTGGTGGCAACTATGAAAGGGATGAGGTATGTTCAGAGACTTTTTTTTTTTTTTTTTGTTCTTCTTTTATCAGTATGATTATTTTTTTCTTTCTTATACTCATTAATTCTTAACGTGTAACATTTGTTAATCGAGTCTCACCTCCCCTTGGGAAGCATTGTTTCTACTCATAGTAAAGTCCCACATTTTCAATCGTTTGAAAACCATGCGTAAAAGTTTTTTTTTTTATTTGTTATTGTTGTTTGTTTGAGTTATCAATGAGTTATAATTTTATTCTTTAACACGTTTCTTCCGTTGTAGCTGTAACAGCGGCATAATGTAGAAGTTTATCTGATACTGAAATATTTGGTCGGTTGTTTTATTTTGGTTAACTGGTGGAGGAGGCTCAATTTAATTTCAACAATGTCATACACTAAATATGTCAGGTGAATAATTTGAAAAGACTGTCCGTTGGAAAATATAAAGAATTTTGCTTTTAACTTGATGCCTTTCTTTCCGTTTTTTTAATACAATGTGGCTATTATCTCAGCTAATCATATTCCCCTTAGCTTGTAGGATAGTGGTAGTATACATATGGTACTTATTTCTTATTTTTTTTAAAACAACTATATGTATATCATGTCGACATCACTGGTATACGTGTTCGAGGAACAGCAAAACAAGACTTTGCCATGAGTATTAGCTTATTACGTGGACCTTCTCTTCTGGAAGTTGTAATTTCTACTCTTTATTTTATTTTCAGGATCATTTCGCATTGATGATGGAGCTTCTTGGAGTGATGTCTCGCAAGGTAATGTTTACATACTTACAAATACCATGTCGTCTTTATTTTATATATTTAAAAAAAATTTCACTTATTTATAGTTTGCTCTTTCTTAAAATATCGGGCACAGATTGCATTAGGTGGCTGCTATTCAAGGGACTACTTCAACAGATATGGCGAGTTGAGGCATATTCGTCAATTGCGCTTTTGGCCTCTTAATAAGGTGTTTACTGAGAAGTATGATTTCAGCAAGCAAGATGCTAATGACTTGGCTGACTTTCTTGTTCCTTTATTGAATTTTGTACCTGAAAAGAGACTAAGAGCAGCACAATGTCTCAGCCATCCGTGGTTGAGTTATGTCTCAAGAATTCTTGAATCTTCTGTATCAACCCATCAAAATCAGCCCAAAGATCAGGAGCTTCAACTAAAAGAAGCAAGAAGGACGAGAGAGAGAAGCTATGGAGATTGTAATGGGAAACATAACTATTGATGGAACTTCGAAATCGAAGTCATCGAAATAGACATGACCAGAAATGGCAACGTACGCGATTTCAGGCTATGTTTCGTGCAGTATAATCGTGGTCTATAGCTCGGGTTTCCATCGGAGTTGGAAACATATTCATGAACCACATGGATTCAGTGTTGTCCTACATGCTATCCGAAGCAATCATCATCTTTTGCTTTGGTGAGAGTCGACCAGCATTCGTAGGCCCATCTCAAGCAACTTCGAACGGTGGATTGTTTTGACAGTGTGCGCGTTCGAGTATGATTTGCATATCTTCACAAACTAACAATATTTCTTGGTGTCTTGTAGCACAACTTTCTAGATCATAATTTCTTTGTGAAACCTTGAGCAGATCTAAAATATATTTTTGGTGCTAGATTCTTGCCATTTTGTTTATTGTAATGTTGGCCACTACCGGGTTTTCTATTTAAAAATGAACTTTTTTTATATATTAAAACTTTTCAGATAGAAAATAATCGGGCGGCCCAAAAGGGGATGGAGGATACCCGGCTCAATCAACGAAATGAGCATATGGTCGAGGACTGGGAAGCAGGGAAAATTTCAGGCCATACGAATACGACGCTTCCCTAAAGACAATCTTGTGGGGAAGCCGAGGTTGAAGACGACTGCAAGTCCATAACCTAATCGTATTCTTGACCCTTGAAACCTGTCATGGAGCTGGCCTCGGATTCCGACCTTGTAGAAGTGGAATTGGAGCCAGACCTTGACCATGTAGAAGTTGGTAATGGACTTGTCCATTGTCACAATCGCACTTTTGCAGTAGCGAGATAGCGACTGTGCGACACTTGTTCTAACCCAGTGAACAAATCAGTGATGTGAATTTCAGATTTCGTGGACGATATCGACGTATGCTCGAACCTCAGGTTATGTTTGAGAGAAATACTTTAGAAAATTTGTGCGAGGTAATACGCTAATTTATTTGATAGTTTTTGAAGTTGTGGATGTATTAGACACAAAAGTAAGAATTAAAAAACTTACCAACTGCAATAATTATTAAATATTAGATCTATTTTGTTGATACTTTTAACCCTTTTTTTCTAAGACATAACAGAAATACTAATTTTTCATTTATCATCATATTGAACTTATAAACACATGAAAATGTTGGCACATTGATGAAAATTTGAAAAGCGCCGGATTCTTATTCTTGTTGACTTGACGGAACTTAGCAAACTACCATTTTTTCAAAAAGTTATTTTTGTTGGTAGAGAGAGGCGTCTTGATGATTTGAAGTGAAGAAGAATGGACTATTTGGGGGACCGACCATATTCTTTGACATAATGGTTTATGGATCCTTGTAGGATGGCTATTGTGTAAGCCACTTGTAATGATAATGAGAAGTGGGGTTGAATGAGAACAGGCTAAGAAATCCATAAAAAGACTTAAGCATCTGCTCTTGAGTGGAGCACTTCAATAATGGTTTCGGTGCATGCTGTTGAAACCACTTTGTGAGGGTGTCATAAAGTTCTAAACCCCTTCCTTCGGCCCCTTTTTCTCTTCAAACAACGTCCAAGAATATGAGAAAAGCACCAAAATGTCCACATTTCTTTTTGTTGGGAATAAACTTAAATGGAAAAAAGAAAATAAGGGTAGTTTTTTGTTTTGTTAAATTTAGTAAGGCTTTTTGAATTTTAGCGTAAGAAGGAAAGGAAAAGGAAAAGCAAAAGGCCAAAGAAAATATGGGGACAAGAATAAGTCCATTCGTTTTCATTGTAAAAAGAGGAGGCAGAGAGCAAGAGCAGGAGACAGAAAGCAAAGCGTATAGTGTAATAGAAAATAGTTTTTTCAGAATTTCTCTCTTTTGTCCCCTTGTCTCTCCCCTCTCAACACCTCCTTCACAGCTTCGTGAGAGTTATTTAAACAAGTTGGTTTCAAAGTGAGCGTTTATTTTTTACAAGTTGGTATCGGAGCGAATTGTTATTTCAACAAATTGGTATCAGAGCGAGTTTTATTTCAACAAATTGGTATCAGAGCCGATGGCGAACATGATGGAACAAAAGAAGCACGGGACACTTTAGAAAAGGTGTTCAAAGGAACCGACCGAGTCAAGACGGTGCGTCTCCAGACACTCTGCGTGGCGAGTTGGAGAGCATGAAGATGAAGGAGTGAGAAAATGTATTTGACTACATCACGCGCGTACAGACCGTGACAAATCAACTAAATCGAAACGGAGAAATGTTATCTGAGACGCGGGTTGTGGAGAAGATGTTGAAGTCGTTAACAGGCAACTTCGAGAATGTTGTATGAGACATAGAAGAGTCGAAGGACCTAGCGACGTTCACGGTCGATGAGCTCGCCGGAGGAGGAGACACACGATCAAGCGCTTCAACTAAGGCATCAATAAAGGATGAAAAGATACTCTTCTCTCAAAATACTCAAGGTAGAGGTCGTGGAAGTCGCGGGAATGGTCGAGGTAGTCAAGGCAACAGTTACGAAGAAAACTATAAAGAGAAGAGACTATCGAGCCAAGCAAATAGGCGTGGAAGAGGACACAATCAAGGACGCGGTCAAGAATACAATTCCCACATCCAGTGTTACAAATGTCAGAAATATGGCCACTATGCAAATAACTGTAACTTCGACAGATGTTACAATTGTGGCAGAATGGGTCATTATGCAAGAGATTGTCGAGCCGATGAAAAGGTGGAAGAAACGATCAACCTAGCCTTGGATGACGCAACAAACGGAGGCATTCTCTTGATGGCCCAAAATGAAGAGCTGAAAACCAAAGAACACGGCGGTGCAAAAGACGACGGCGATAATCGTGAGGCGATGGAAACTAATAGAAATGAGATGATGCACAGCTGATACCGGAGACGAGAAAATCGAATAAAGATGAACAACCGAATAATAGAGAACCCGAGCTCGAAGAGAGAGAGCTCCACTAGCTGGAAAAGAAATTCGAGGAAGAAAGAAGAAAGAGGATGAGAATGGAAGAAGAAAAGAGGACAGAAATGCAGATTGAACATGAGAAATAGATGGTTCAAATGCAAGCTGCAATCCCTTCAAAATCCCTTGAAAATCCCAAAACAATGACGAAGAAGAAGCCCATGCGATTCGCGAACGAGCCAATGAAACTGCCAGATCTCGAGGAGGAGAATAGAGATTAAGAGCAACAACCCAAAACTGCCGTGGATAAATCTGTGGAGAAGTCTCAATTGCAGACGTTGAAATCACTGAACGAAAGAAAAGAAAGTTTGAGAAAATGAGATAGAAAGGTTAGAGAAGGAAGTGGCTGAGCTGAGTGAGAGTTCCTTCTATCTCAAACAAGAGGAAAAGAATGGGAATGTAATCTCTGATCTTATGAAGAAAGTTGAAGAAGGTGTGGAGAAAGAGAATGACATGTTAATGGTGATTGAGGCTCTAGTGGACGAGCTAGTGAGGGAGGAGAAAGATATAGAGATGCTGACTCTACAGAGAGACTCACTCGACGTGAACCTGAATCAAATCCAACAGGAGGCAGTGAATTTACGATACACGATTGAGATACTCACTCGTGATAAAGTCGAAATGGAGGAAGAAAAAAATGCTAGCTGTAAATGTCGCTGTGGACTTGAGAAGAGAATTGAGTAAACTGAACGAAGCCATGATGTCCGAGTCAAGCGTGGCTAAGAACGGGAGAAATGAAGAGTTGGTGTCTCAGATAGGCTATTCTCGAGAAGATCCAAATGAAGTCTCATCAGAGAAGGACAAGCTTAGTCTGCTGCTCGAGGACAAGGAGAGAAAATTGAAGAAACCACAACTGAGCTCAAGAAAACAAAAACGACGCAGGTGGAATCGTTGAATAGAGCATTTAAGTTTATGGGGAAGTTTTGTTGGGAATAAACTTAAATGGAAAAAAGAAAAGAAGGGTAGTTTTTTATTTTGTTAAACTTAGTAAGGCTTTTGAAATCTGAGTCGTGAGAAGGAAAAGGCCAAACAAAAAATACAGGGACAACAATCACTTGAGGAGAGAATGGGTTATGGGATCGCTCATTTTAAATCTCAGAAACCCTATAAATTGATTCGTTTTCATTGTAAAAAGCAAGAGGCAGAGAGCAAGAGACAGAAAGCAAAGTGTACTGTGTAATAGAAAAGAGTTTTTTTCATAATTTCCTTTGTCCCCTTGTCTCTCCCCTCTCGACACCTCCTTCACAGCTTCGTGAGAGTTATTTAATCAAGTTGGTTTCAGAGCGAGCGTCTATTTTTTACAAGTTTGTATCGGAGCGGATTGTTATTTCAACAAATTGGTATCAGAGCGAATTTTATTTCAACACTCTTTAGGGGCCATTATTGAACGATTCAACTGTTCGTGAACTTTCAAGTTTGTATCTAGGAGAACGTTCAAGTTCATATATTTTAAGTGTTAAGTGATGGACTGTGAAATCTCATATCGGTTGGAGAGGGAAATGAAGCATTCTTTATAAGGGTGTGGAAACCTCTCCCTAGTAGACGCGTTTTAAAACAGTGAGGCTGATGGTGAGATACGTAACGGGCCAAAGCGAATAATATCTTCTAGCAGTGGGCTTGAGCTGTTACAAATGGTATCAGAGCCAGACATTGGGCGGTGTACCAACGAGAATGCTGGACTCCCAAGGGAGTGGATTGTGAGATCCCACCTTAATTGGAAAGGGAAACAAAGCATATCTAGAGTGTGAAAACTTCTTCCTAGCATACGAGTTTTAAAATCGTGAAGCTAACGACGATACGTAACGAGCCAAAGCTGACAATATCTATTAGCAGTATGCTTGAGCTATTCAATGGACGTTTTCAACACTAACATCAAAACAGGTTCATATATTCATCTTTAGTGGCTTACATGTCAGTATGATTTTCGTATCCTGTTTATAGTGTTTCATCATCATTATTTGTTGTTTATATATTGTTTGGACTGCCAAGATCAGCATAGTACTTACTGATCCATCCTTTAATGATGTTAACCTCTGTCTCTCTTTGTTCCACCAACCACTGTGGATCCGTTTCATTTGCTCGTAAAATGTCCAAACAATGAGATCCTGGAAAGTTCAAAACATGTCAGCTCAAAAGAACAAAGCTTTGAAGTTAGAATTTAGGAGTCTGAATCAAACCATTAGGCGTATGGAGTGCAAGGAGACTGTCAGATAAGTTATGCAACACTCTGCATTCACAAAAAGAGAGAGAGAGAGTTGAAGTAAAGTTGATTGTTCTTTATGTGCAATAAATGTTGTAGCTTTGGTTTTCGTTTACCCGCCGCTGCTATAAGGGTCCCTTAGTCCATTGGAGAAAATGACGTTGCTGCCAAATCTCTTAAGGATGAGTTTTATGTCCTGAAATTTGAAGGGAGACAAAGAAATTGTGAGATTCTACGTCGGTTAGGGAGGAGAACGAACTATTATTTATGAGCGTGCGGAAACCTCTCCCTAGTAGACGCGTTTTAGAAACCTTAAAAGGGAAGCTTGAAAGGGAAAGCTCAAAGAGGATAATATATGTTAGCGGTGGGGTTGGACTGTTACAAATGGTATCAGAGCCAGACACTGGGTGATGTGCCAGCGAGGAGGCTGATCCCTGACGGGGGTGGACACGAGGCGGTGTGCCAACAAGGACGCTGGGTCCCGAGGGGGGTGGATTGTAAGATCCTATATCAGTTGATGAGGAGAAAAAAAAAACATTGTTTATAAGGGCGTGGAAATCTCTCTAATATAAAAAACCTTGAGGGGAAACACAAAGAGGATGATATCATTTAGTGGTGGGCCCCGAAGGGGGTGGATACGAGGCGGTGTGCCAGTAAGGACGCTGGGCCTCGAGGGAGTGGATTGTGAGATCCACTAACAGAATGGTCGGATGCACCCCGAAGGGGGGTGGATACGAGGCGGTGTGCCAGTAAGGACGCTGGGCCTCGAGGGTGGAGTGGATTGTGGAGTCCCACATCGATTGAAGAAAGGAACGAGTGCCAACGAGGACGCTGGCCCCGGGGGAGGGGGTGGATTGTGAGATCCCACATTGGTTGGGGAGGAGAACAAAACATTCTTTACGGGGGTGAAGTTTTAAAAACTTTGAGGGGAAGCCTGGAAAAGAAAGTCAGAGAAAGACAATATCTACTGTAGATTTGGGCGGTTACAGTAATTTCAATAAAGAAAATAAAGAAAAAGAGAGAGGTGGTTGAAGTGCATACATGGCCTCCATAATAGGTGGTGACCTAGTGAGGCCTTGGAGACACACGGTATAACTCATTGCAGTAATCTATGAAGCTTCCAAGCTCAAAATTAGTGAGGCCTTGGAGACACACGGTATAACTCATTGCAGTAATCTATGAAGCTTCCAAGCTCAAAATTGTATGCTGGAAACAGACACACGGTATAACTCATTGCAGTAATCTATGAAGCTTCCAAGCTCAAAATTGTATGCTGGAAACAGACACACGGTATAACTCATTGCAGTAATCTATGAAGCTTCCAAGCTCAAAATTGTATGCTGGAAACATAGTATCAGTATAACTCATTGCAGTAATCTATGAAGCTTCCAAGCTCAAAATTGTATGCTGGAAACATAGTATCATTGCCTGTGCTTAATGGCATCACCATTTCACTGCATCTCTGAGTTACATGCTGGAAACATAGTATCATTGCCTGTGCTTAATGGCATCACCATTTCACTGCATCTCTGAGTTACACACACAACACAAAAGCTTCTTATAACGTCAAAAAATAAAAAATAAATTAATGAAGCTTTTTGAAGTTCAATGCATCCCACGTCGGTATTCGTGTAATAAAAAGATTACCTGCCACCTCCATCCCACATCGGTTTCAGTTTCATCTCTGGCCTGATTCATGTAGCAGGAAAGATTTCCTTTATAAGCAAACACGCCTGCAGCAATTCGTTCAACAATTCCACTTCCTGATGAAGCTCCATCAATGGCATCACAGATTATAGTGACTGGATACCTTGGTGGGTGGTCGTATTGGGCTGCGACGGTATACATAGACCACAAGAAGTCTTCCAGCTGAGCGGAGTTCTTCAGAGGACTAAAACAAGAACAACTCATTTGAAGCACAAACTTCATTAAATTTGGATATGAGAAGCCATGAATTCTAATACCTGCAACTTTTGAACTCTTTGCTAAGAATGGAAAGGCCATCAGGCTTGGAAGCAATTGTTTCAATCTTGGACCAGGAATCCCGAATGGTTTCATAGCAACTCTCACTAACGTCCTGCAAATTCATTCACATTTTTGTGTATTTAAAAAGTTCAAAGGGTTCAAAAGGATGCATTATTGTTGAGGGATCTTACTCTAAAATCCTTAGTGGCAATGGAATAGTATGCATCATGTGGCGTGATATTGTCGAAGTAAAGGATTGGAGCTGAAGAAGCAAGAGCTCCAAGGGCGACATGAGGATATTTCAGACGAAACCATGCAGCCAACACTGTTTCCAACAAAACAAAAAAAACATGTTCTGTTATATAGAGTTTGAAGATTTTTGTAACCGCTAGCAGATATTGTTCGCTTCGCACGTTACGTATCGTGGTTAGCCTCACGGTATTAAAACGCGTTTGCTAGAGAGAGGCTTCCACACCCTTACAAGAAGTGTTTCGTTCCCCTCTCCAACTGATGTGGGATCTCACAATCCACCGCTCTTGGTGGCTCAGCGTCCTCGCTAACACACTGCCTAGTGTATGGCTCTGATACCGTTTGGAACAGCTCAAGGCCACCACTAGCAGATATTGTCCGTTTTGGCCCGTTACGTATCGTCGTTAGCCTCACGGTTTTAAAACGCGTCTGCTAGGAAGAGGCATCCACACCCTTACAAGAAATGTTTCGTTCCCCTTTCCAACCGATGTGGGATCTCACAATCCACCCGCTTGGAGGCCCAGCGTCCTTGCTGGCACACTACCCGGTGTCTAGCTCTGATACCATTGACAACAGCTCGAGGCCATCGCTAGCACATATTGTCTGCTTTGGCCCGTTACATATCGTCGTTAGCCTCACGGTTTTAAAACGCGTGTGCTAGGGAGAGGCTTCCACGCCCTTATAAGAAAAGTTTCGTTCCCCTCTCCACCCGATGTGGGATCTCACAATCCACCCCTCTTAGAGGCCCAGTGTCCTCGCTAGCACGCTACTCAATGTCTAGCTCTGATACCATTTGGAACAACTCAAGGCCATCGCTAGTAGATATTGTCCGTTTTGGCCCGTTACGCATCGTCATCAGCCTTACAGTTTTAAAACACATCGACTAGCGATTCGTTTCCACACCCTTGTAAGAAATGCTTCATTCCCCTTTCCAACCGACGTGAAATCTCACAATTTTAAACGAGAACTCACTTACTTCCACCATATGATCCACCAAGAACAATCACAGGAGAATCTTTAGCATGCAACTCCTTTTTAACATGTATAAGAACATCCGCATAATCTGCTATTGCTTGAGCAGAGTTGAAATAGCCTAAAGTGCTTGCATTCTTCAATGCTACCTCCCTTGATCCAAAGGGTATCGATTTCCCATAATAACGATGCTAACAACAAAACAAAACAAAATCATATAAACCCTCCAAAGCATTAAATATGAACCACACAAGAACATGAAAGCTCTTACCTCAATATAAACAAGAAGAGCCCCAAACTGAGCAGCATTATCAGTCGAGAATCCTACAACGTTCAAATCATTATCCAGTGGACCTTCAGCTCCCAAGTAGGCAAGAATGGGAGCGCTGGAATTTGCGCCGCCCCAATACTTAAAGTTGATTATATATCTATGAGCGAACGTCGTGTAGCTTTCAGGCCTATAATTGAAGTGATCTAACGTTTGGTTGTAATAAAATGTCTTGAAATCATCCGAAAGAGGCGAGGACAGAGCTTCAGAATCTCTGTCGGTTGGACTAAGCCTTGGGATTCTGTACTGTGTTGCAGAAACACAGGCTGAAAGGATGAGAAGTAAGCAGGGAAGAAGCATCATGGCGGAGTGCTTGGTTTGGCTTGATCTTCACAAACAAACAGCTCCTTTATATAACAAAAAGTTGTCCGGTTCACCGGTTCGAGTCTCGAACCAGTGGTTAGTAAGCTAGGCCAAGGCGCCTAATGAAAGGTAGTTGAATGGTTGAGTTGAGTTGATGGTCGGGAAGGCGAGTAAGTTATAGAGGTTTCTGCCAAATAAAGACACTCTTCAACGGCTTCATTCCTAAATATGCAATGAAGCTGTTGTCCTTATCAAAAATTTGCTTTTCTAATGCTAAAATCACTTCAAAATTCCTAGTTTTAGAATAGTGTCTTCGTGAAGAAAACTTCTAATCTTAATATCTTGATGTGTCGGTTAGGGATGTTCGTTAGTTGAGTTGGGTCCGGTTGGCTGAGATACTTTTTAGATCTTGGGCAACTAAATATACGTATATATAACTCGATCGGAAATAAAAATGTATATCATAAAATTTATAATAAATTCGAGTTTGTTTAGTTCAACCCAATCGACTTTCAGGAGAACCAATAAACCAATTCAATCTATAAAATTTTTATTTATTTAAAACCGCATAAATTAGGTTGGATTGATAAGATTTTTCTAATTATCAAGTTTTGTCGGTTGTGAAGATCGGAAGCTAAAGCTTAGAAAGTGGATGGAAAATTCAGCAGTAAACCGACGATTGGTCCAAGTTTGTGCCATTGAAAAACTCTTTTGGAAAAACATTAAGTTCATATCTTGAAATGACTTGATACTAACATGTTGATACACATATGGTTTTAAAATAGTTCATCAGATCTCTCTAATTATCAAGTTTTCTTTTAAGATAATTTTAAAATAGTTAAATTTATATTTGTTATATTTAAATCATTTTGCAACGTGCTTTTTATAAAAATTAAAAAAAAAAGTGAGAAAATTATTTTTGATCAAGTTTTTAGTACACACATGGAAGGTGGATTTGAAAGTAGATATTTTATATTTAAAGATTCCAGAAATTATATTTTTTTTTCCTTGATAACAAAAAAAAAAATATATATATATATTTTTTGTGATGGGAATTTTTTCATTAAAAATATTTTATTTTTTTTTAAGTAAAATAAGAATTAATATTTCGAGTTTGAAAACTTAAGAATTTAGGTGCATCAAAGTTGGAACATAGCTATATTGCACGTGTCTTATTGTCGGTTAACAAGGTTGTTTGTGGCATCGACGGTGGTGGTGCTGGAAGGGATATTCAAATTGGAATTTATAATTTCAACTCAACTTTATTTTTGTCTATTTTTTAGTTTAGCAAGAATTATTATATAAAAGAGTCAATTTTTTCGGTTAATAATATTATAAAAGAGTTGAATAAATTTTACTTTAATTTTATTTCAAGAGCATGTATTTTGGAATTAAAGAAAATTGTGTGCATATCACAAAAACATTAGGTAATAGAAACAAATTATTTTGAGCCTCATAAATTAATTTGTGTTTATGTAGTCTTAAGATTAAGAAAAGTATATAGTTTATCTATAAATTAAATTGCTAATAAGAGCAAAGGATTGAAAACTTGAAAAATAAAAACAAAACGGTAAGCCAACTAGATGTAGCTCTAAAAGTTTTTGGGAGTGAAATTAGAAAAGTAAGCTTTATCATTCTGAAATTCCTTGAACAAGGTTTCTAATTCTACTCATCGTATTTATTCTCGCTAGATTAATCAATAATAGAGAGTACATCTATTATTTCAATCGTCCATCATTGTATAATAAACTTTATATGCATAGAAATTTGGACAAGAAGAATTAGTAAGACACCTGGATGGATGGATGCATGGATGGATGGATGGATCAAGAGGATGAAGATCAACGAATCTCACTATTAGTCTCATTTTTTGTCTTTGTTGTCATCTAATTCGTCATAAAGAGTAAGCACGAATCACTTCTAGAATAGGCGCATGACATGTCGGACACTTTTCTCTTGCTTCGACCAACTCGTTAGCACATTTTGAACATGTGCACATGTGCCAAAAGGAGAAAATATAAGTTAAATGAAACTTGGAACTAGAGAAAAGCACACAAAAATGGTCTGATAATTTGCTAGAATTACCTATACAACAAAGCATCAATATGGTTATCACAACATGTACAACAAATTCCTTTCCTTACTCGGTCTCATTTGGGTTCTTCGTCTGGCAAACTGTCTTCCCTCCCTCCACCCATGCTGAATAACCATTTGAGTAAAGTATGATATATTTCGGTGGTACAGGGCAGGAACCACATTAAAAAAAAATAAAAAGTCCATGTCGAATTTTGGAAAAATATAATATCCACAACCAAGAAGCACAAAAACTACTTAAATTACTCATGAAATCACTTAGATTAAGGTATGCACCTCTGCAAATCAAGTACCATGTTGTATCTTTTTCTAGGGGGTGGGGTGGGTTCCCCAGGCAGCTTGTTAATTGATCAAATCTAAAACTAAAGAATTCAGCTACATTGAGAATGAAGGCATACCTTCTGAACCAGCTGTTCGGTTCAGTGCAGAAGAAACTTCTTGCTTAATTGAGCGCTGCAGCTCAAGTCGCATGTCCATGCATGTCTCCAACATTCTCTGTAGGTTGCTCATCCTCTGCTATAGCCTAGACATGTCGATCCTCAAATCATTAATGATCTCCCAGTCCTGTAAAATTCAGCAACAACATCAAATTTAAAAGAATAGTAATAACAATAAAATAAAGAACGAAAAAAAGATGACCAGATTATCCAACAACCAACACTGGACTTCGCCTAATAGACAATTGCAATAATTCTAAATTTGAATTATAGAATCACAATTCATCAATCGTTTACCATTGATACTTGCACGTTTTCCTATCTCTTTTATTTACTTTAATCCAACTGATTTCATCCAAACAGAAAAGACAACAAACAAGGGAACAATGATGAGACATACAGCTCCAAACTGCTGATGGAAATCACGTCTTGACAAACTATCATGACTCAATTCATGTTCCCAAAGTTGCCGAGGGGGCATTGCAGGTGGCAGAGGCAAAGCAAGTGGATGGCTCGCAGCAGAACCCGTTTGACCTGCAGTCTGCCTGTCGTGCTCTTGCTCTTGTTTTACAGACGTGTAAGGGGACATCGTCTCGTCTAGATCCCCATTACTGGTACTGTGACCTCGCCTGTCTATGTAAGATCGAATTAACTGGTCAAGACTTTCTCAGAAACCACTACTAAGAAGAGTAGAGACACTTCTCCTGCGTAATAAAGAAAAATAGTCCACATGTAAATTCACCATTTAGTCTGAATTCCGCCAGGCATGTTGTTATATAAATTTTTTGATACGTATTTAAAAGTTCTCTCATTTCCACATTATGCACATTATTTTCTTCACGAAAATAAAAGGTCTCCAACCTTCGGCTGGATGTAGCCTCCCGACTAGGAGAGCCCTCTAACCAATTAGGCACATCCTCCACAATGATAACATTTTCATGTGAAGCTCCAGGGGCATTTTACAGATGAATATCTCCTCTGTGTGTCGTACTCGAGAATTCTCCAGACCAATTAGTAGTGTGATGCTTTCCAACCGAGTTTCGTTTATATCTTCTTCAATGCTATTTTTCCATTCATCCCGTTGAAAACCATATGCTTGCCAATCATTTGGCTCAACTCCCATACCTAGATCTTCATTCAGTTCCTCGTGAGAAGTAGATTCCAGCGGATCTACATTTTCAAGATCATTGTCTTGAAAACTTCTAGAATTATCTGATAATACTCCAATATCATCATATTCCTCGCGGGTATCAATTTGTTGAATGGAAGATTCGACATCTGGTATGCTAGTATGATCCTCGGCATCAATCTGAGGAACTTCAAGGTATAAATTTTTTGCAGCAATTTCTTGTAAAATTCTTCTCATACGTTGTCCTGAATCTTCTCTCATCTCCATTGAGTTGATATCAGCTGTTTGGCTGGCTACACAATTTTCTTCAACCTATTCTTGTGTATTTTCTAGCGCATCAATAGATGCTTCCCTACCTTGAGCACTAATTCTTTCTTAATTAGATCTGACTTGAGTTAGACCAATGCTATAAGAGCTTGCGTTATGACTTTCCACGTTAATTGGCCCAGAACGTCCAGGAAGATCATCTAGGACCTCAAAACTCCTTGTACGATTTAGGTCAGTTAGAGAATAACCATCATCACTATTGTATGTGGTGTCAGAATGCCCGCTACTTGCTTGATCTTGAACAGAATTATCCTATCGGGAGAAGAATCCTTCCCTAATTCAAAGAAAGTCAAAATATCATTAGTATTATCAAAAGGGATAGGCCAGCATTACAAAGTGGACAAGCAGGTCAAGTTGCCAATGAGCTTGAGTGAAAAACAACCGGCAAAAATTCAAGGTTGACACTGAAGGAAATAATACACGACTCTCATTCTAAATCAAGTGAATTAGGGAGTTTTTCTTCCTCGAAATTTTTGTAGTACCCGAAGTCGTGACCTTTTACACTTTCACAAACTTCAAAGTAGCATACTATTATTCAACTTCACAACATTTGAAAGATCCCAATCCTTTTACACTTTCACAAACTTCAAAGTAGCTTACTATTATTCAACTTCACAACATTTGAAAGATCCCAATCAAAGAAGGTTAATCTTCCAAGCAGGTAGCAAGTTTTGGACCTATGACTTCTTGGTTAAAGTTAACGACCCTTAGCCGCAATGCCCAGTGATCAGATTTGTGTTTTCTTGACTATAACTGGTAATAAATTCAAGTTCAACGAGGAAAACGAACAATGTCCATCAGTGTTAACATTAATGTAGAAAAAGACGTTAGTACGAAGGTTTGTTAAGCTCTATGTTTAGTTTAACCAAATTAAGACACAGTAATCAGTGATCAGATAACTTTTGGATTGAGGATATACAATCGCATATGAAATTGATCACTATTTCTCATACCTCGGTAATTCAGAAAAATTTAGTTTCCTAATAATGTAATTAGCATTAAGGATGTTGCTA